ACAGCTGAGTTGTGATCTAAAGTCGGACTGTAGTCATTTCTACAAGAGAAGAATCCTCCTCATCCAAAGGAGCTCTGTCACCTCAGGATGAAATCATATGAAGCAGATGTCACATTCATTTTCATGCTCTGTAATTCGCCTCCCTGCAGTTTGAGTAAGTGGGTTAATAACACAAATAATTGCCCTAGTTGTGGTAGCAACACCATGTTTGGAGGCACTTAAAAAACTGGTTCCCGGGAGGAAGCGTCCTGGTGTGCATCATCTCAGTTTTAAGAAGACATCAGTGAAAGAAGAAAACAGCCAAATGTGTCATTAAAGGAACTGTTTTAAAGGAGAGATTTCACAGTTAATGAGCGCTTCTGCAGCTCAGCTCAGCTTCTGCTTCTGTATCTCACTGCAATATTTATAACATAATAAAGCAACACACAGTTTAAAATTATGGGTGAAAATATCCTGTTTCTAAATAAATAAATGAGGAAAAACCTCCAAGATTAAATTTCCTCTTGATAAAAAAAACCTCAATAATTCTTATATTTGCTGGAAAGTTATGAGGAGAAAAAATTATTCAATTTTTAGTAAAAAATTCATTTTTATGAAAGAGGAAAAATAGACGACTGAGTTTCTTTACACAATAACTTCAGACTTTAATGTTTTTCTCATGCTGTAATAAACTTTTGATTTATTTAATGTGGGACATAAAACGACTGCATGCAAGTTAAAAAGACAAAAGAGTCAACATGATTCATTACCAATGTGAATTATTAAAACTTCATTTTGTAATACAGCAAAAAATTATGGACAATAAAAATGAAAAAAATAAATAAACACATTTTAAATGAGAGTAAAGAAACGAGATAAATAAAAAATTAAGTCGAATGTTTAATTCTACAACATGAAGGTAAAAAGTCAAAATGATCAGAACTTCGACTTTTGCTCTGAGATCAAATAATTAAAGCTGACGAGGAAATGATGGAAAACTTCATTTACAACAGATTCAGGTCTCCGTGGATCTGATGGGTGCAGACTATAACCTGGAGCACCGCCATGTTTGTCCTGGATTCCTGGAATCCCGCTCCTTAAATTTGACCTCTTAATCTCCAACAGCTGCCAAGATGAACAAATTAAACGGCACAAAGTATCCTCTCATGACTCATTTCCTCCCCGCCGACATCGAGGCCATAAACGCCGTCGGTGTGACAAACGTCTGACTGTAAAGTGAGGAAACTTGCTGCTGCGTGTGGCAGCAGGACGTCCGGCATGAGCGCTAATCAGCTCCTGTGTGATGCTCTCATACAGTCTGTGGATGCTGATGGATGGATATCCAAGCATCAGCTGATAACTTATTGCTCCGCCCTCTCGTCCAAATATGTACATAAGGTCAATTCACCACGGCATCGACCGAACACGCTCATGTCAACGCTTCAAAACAAACCTGAGCTGCTGCCTGACAGAAGCCCCACCCACATGCTCTCAATACCTGCAGTTTGGAGGAGCAGCCAAACTAAAGGGGGTGGAGCTAAAACGCCTTGTTTCAGACAGAGGAAGAAGTGAGGAGCTGCATTGGGGGTCAGTGTCACATAAAGAAAGATTATTTCCAGCTGTGAGTCATGCAAAGCTGCTCTGGAGGAGAACTCACACACACACACACATAGAGACACACACAGACTCACACACACACACAGACAGACTCACACAGACTCACAGACAGACTCACACACACCAGCAGCTCGTCCTCTCTGACGTGGTCACATACAGGAAGTGACGCTCCCGTGTTGGTGTAGTGTTCCTGTCGGAGTCATGTGACAGGAGTGGATGGTCTCGGCCGGGAGGCGGTCCCCGCCTGCGAGCGGAGGTTCAGTTCTGGAGCTGATCCGAGCGCGTGTGACAGTCAGTGTGGCGGCGAGATCCGAGCGCGTGTGACAGTCAGTGTGGCGGCGAGCAGCAGATTAAGTGAACGTTCGTCTGTGAGTGTTTGTGTAGTTCTTTAAATATCAGCAGAGCGGGAAATGAAACAGGAACGCAACGAGGCGGAGAGGGGAAGAAAAGTAAGTCAGACAAGATAATGTGTTCTCCCGAGGCTGCGATCAATACGCCTAATAGAACGGGTTCATTAGCGTTCAGGGCCTGCTCGCACCATCATACCGGGTCACTGTCGGCGAGGCGTTATCGATCGTGGTCCAGAGCGGCTCCTGAGGTGCTGGTTAGCATTGCAGACGCAGCAAAGCTTCCCCAGAGAAAAGCTACGAGTCGATGAGCGACAGAGTTCATCAGATTAAGGAGTCCAATCACGGCACGGCCCAGTAGCGAGACACACCCACGCTGTTCCCGAGGTACGCAGCGTTAGCCTCGATGTCGGTGGGTCTCTTCACTCGTCTTACTCCTGCTTTCATCTACCGTATCGCCCCGGCTCTCTGATCTCTGCACACCTTTACCTTCATGTACGCCACAACCACGTCTCCACAGACCGCCACGCCGGTCCCTCACGCCGCCACCTCACCTGGGCCACAGTGAGCCCTACATACTGTTTACTTGAATTATCCAAATCTATGTGCTACATGTATATAGTGCCAGGTCCTCCTGCAGTCACCATCCATCCTTATTCCAACACCCTCACACCTATAAATGTGTGCGTGCACATGCTCCAAGCTTCATCAGACTACAGTGTGTTTGCACCAGGACCTGCACAGGTGTGAGAGGCTGTGCTGTAGCACTTTACTGCTGCGGTTCTGTGGGAACGCCGTGGGAACGCCAGCTTTAACGTTCCAAAACAAGCATGACCTAACCTTCCAGAGATTGCCAGCTACGAAATAACCACTTACTGACCAATCAAATCTGTGGAAAATAACACAAACCCAGGAACGTTCGCTGTCTGTCCCGTGAATGACTCGGATACTCTGACGATCTGCTGCGTGAGGCTGATTCTCCAGCTTTACCTCGAAGCTCTCACCATCAGCCAGCGCTCTGCTTCAGTTCTTCCACCCAAAGCCGGAACACAAAACGAGGAGTAACTCTCAGATCTGCGGCTGCTTCATTAGTCGTGCTTTCTGTTCTAAAATCAGACACGTGGTGGGATCAACCCCACGTGGGAGCTTTGTAAAACGAGTGGGCGAGTCTCCGAACCCTCCCGAGACATTTTCACAACAATTGTACACGGCGTTAGAAATAAAAATCAGCGGGTAGCTAAACCCAGCATCTGTGACCGCGCGGTGACGGATGAGGGTCCAGACCTGCTGTCGCACAGAAGAAGTGAAAATGGAGCCTCCAACAAACAAACGAGTAATGGGGACTGGCTGCTCTCCACCTGTCCCGGGTGGGTGTGGTTTCATTTATTGTGTATCCACACACACCTGCAGTAAACAAACGGCGCCAGCGCTCACCTGTGCACTTCCTGCTGCTCTCGTCCTTCTTGGAGGAGCTCATCAGTTTGCAGTTGAAGTTCTCCTCCCAGTACTCGGCAAACCACACGTTCCTCCTGTTGTTCTCCAGAGTCCGCGAAGTGAAGTAGGCATCGAACCCTGAAAGACATCCGGCAGCAGGTCGGAAAACAAAACAGAGGTTGATTCATTAGGCGGCGACAGCCCGGAGCACTCGAGCACGAAGACTCAGAGCAAACAGGACGTGTTTCCTAATGTATGTGAGTGTTTATCTGCTCATCTGCGCTGCATTTTAATCAGGCCTTTATGTAATCCATCTAAAGTGCTGTCAGAGGGGAGTTCTTCAGGAAACACTTCATTCTGCTGCTGTCGAGGAAAACAACAGGAACAACTCGACAGCTCAGGATGGAGCTAATGTAGATAAAGAAAGTACCCGTCAAAGATTCTTTCCACAACTTCCTGCCAGTTTAAAGAGCTCACAACGTTGTGTAACGCTGCCCGAACACACGCCAAGACCGCAGCAACAACAAAACCCTCACATATGGTAATAACATTCCTGGCAGGGAAGGGAATTCCACCGGGATGAATAGAAACGGAGCTGCGGATCACCAGAAATAGCTCCAACCGTGTAACCTTTGCACGAATCACAAAGGCCCCGAGAGCCGAGGAGGGTGGTGCGTAGGTTTCTAATCGCATAAGCAAATTAAGAGATTATCACTGAAAAACAAGAAACGGGTCAAAAACAGAATTTTATTCATATACTGACAAAATAATCCGAATAACAACCACCTGACATCACAACAGGTGCTGTGACAGGAAGCTGGCAGCACGTTTATCATCCATGCGTGCGACCTGTTCGTGCATCTGCTGCTGGAATTCTTCCGATGAGAGCGCGCCACAACAACACACAACAACACACAACAACACACAACAACACACAACAACACAACGTGGGCAGGTGCGGAATGCACTCCACGCTCCTGGAGGCTGAGAGGGCGTGGCACTGACCATGTGCACCGAAGACGGCGACATGTCGCTAACCATCGCTAGCCGTGAGCCAAGCGGTGGAGAAACGGGATAACGCATACACAGGCACCTTCAAAGTAAAAGCTGTTCATCGATGCTTCAACAATACATTTCAAAAGGTGCAACACTTACTTTGAAGGCAAAGCTTTTTTTTAGCACCCGTGTTTTTAGTTTCTCGACGTAGTGAACAGCTGCTGCGTGTTTGCAGACAAGCTGGCGTTTCCTGTGACGCATGCATGCTAACACTAAGATATGCAACGGGGTAAAACGTCTGCAGACCAGTGGAGTCAGATTTCATTCGTCTCTCTGCTGGTGGCTTTGTCTCCACCGCTCACAGCCCGACACTCACCGGAAACGGAGTGATAAGGAGACGAGTCCTTTATCTAAAAAAGTGCACTTAATCATCTCCTGCTTCCCATAAGAGCCGCCTTCACTCCGCGCTCGCCGTCCGTCACCAATACCGCTCAGACGTCCTTGGCAGGTGACGCATTCATTGTAATAATTCCTGACAGCCTGGGATTAGGGTCGTGACCTCTGCAGGTCTGTGAGGCGGGCTGTGAGGCCATCCTGACACAACAGAATCAGACTTACACATTAGTCATTACAAAGATGTATTTGAAATAATATTAAAATGAAAACATTAAATATAAATATATAAAACATAAGTATTTACAGAGGCTTACAGTGGAAGAGCCTCAGGGAGAAGCTGCTGCCTCGTCAGAAAACTACTGACTGCTAGAATGAAGGGCTTTGGCTGGACCCGCCCCTTTGACCTAGGTCAGAGCATCACGTCACCAGGCTCCTGATTGGTTGTTGTGGCGCGACTTGGCGCTGGGAGTTCAGATTTTTCCAACTCGAGCGGTAGACGCGATAAGCGCAAATGCACAAAATGCAACACAAAAACTGCAGCGCATATTTTACTTCGCGCTTCAAACGTGTCAGTCGCCCTACTTGGTCGCGCGGATCAGGCAGAAAAGCGTTTTCGCGACGCAGATCTGCTTCTGAGGTTTCGCTTCGTCGCGCTCCTCCATTGACATGTAAACCTGACGCTCTGGTCGCGTTCGGCGTGAACGCACCGTGACACCGTATCTGCGCCATACCGTCCCCATGCCTGCTCGTTTCTGCATGACTGCAGCAGTTCGTGGTTTCACACATCATGTGACTCTTTCGGCAGATAACGAAAGTAAACACACCTGAGCCAGGTGATCGGAGCTCGGCTCTCTGGGATCAGTTGTACGTTTTGGTTTCATATTTTTGGCCACTAGGGGTCGCCGAACACGAGCGTGCCTGCACAGAGCGTCCAGGAAAGCGAGTTTTTCTCCCGTGGGCCTGGATGTGGACGCGCTCTCTGCAGCTCTGCAGACGTCCAGCATCAGTCAGTGAAATCACTTGAAGTCCTGCGTCTGCACACTGTGACGGATGGAGGATTTTCTCCTCGCTGCGACTGAAGCTTTGAGCCTGGAAGCTCAAAGTAGGACAGCCGTGATGGCGACTCTCAGGGTATCTGACTGACAGGCACTTGGAGTCTCTGCGAGCTGCAGAGGGACAGCTGTGCCGTCTATTTCAAGAAGTCTGCTTTTCCATTGTTGAAACGATGAATAATGAATGTAAACAGAAAGGATTCAGAAGTTTGTGCTTCAAATAAGAAACTGAGAAGCAAAACAGGAAATGAGGAGATGCTGGAGGCGGGATTTACTGGTGAGAGGAGAGATGTTAACAGAAGCTGCCTGAGAATTCGCCTGATTTTGCTTCGGTCCGTCAGTCTGACAGCAGCACCGCGGTGTCGGACACACGGGGAGACGCTTCAGAGATTTGTTGTTGTTGCTCTTGTTCAGATTTTCTGGGTCACAGACTTCACTGACAGCTCGATGTACGGCGTGTCCGGCTGCGTGACGCGTCATCCCACCAATTTACAGTCGCTGGCGTGACTGAGTCACGCTGCTTTTTCCTTTTTTATGGCTCGTTTTGTTTTTGACATCGAAACAAAGCAGCACTCAGACCCTCAAACACACGTCGCTGTAACAGAGACGCTGATGCGGCGCTTATGAAATCAAGGAAAAATCAGATAAATGCTCCCTCAAACGCATCATTAGACTCAGACTTTCTCCCTCGCCACGTCTGCCTCGTGTGCTCGGCAGGTCGGGCAGATGTTTTCTGGGAGTTTGTTTCTGGAAACCGGAAAGAGCGAGGAGTGCAGCGAGCAGCTAACACATGCACATTTATGCCATATTTTAACATCAGTTTGCTCAGCAGTTCTCCAGCACGGGCCTGAGAGCGGGTTAATGAGCAGCCTGTACGCATGCTGCAGGCGGTGGTCTCCACACACCAGGGGGCGCTGCTGCACACAGGGGTCCGGCTGAAGCTCATTTAAATGTATGAGAAACTGCAGGAGCTCATTTGTGCCGCGCACTCGGTAAACAGCTCCAGGTCAGCGTTTCTTTCCTGAGTTTTGGACTTTTTGGATAATTTTATCAAACGATGTGAAGCAGCCTGCAGCAGACACGCGGGCGTTTCTTACCCGACCTGGACGTCCCTGGTACGACCGAGTCACGTTCGAGCTAAAGGCACCTGTGCAGGTAAAGCAGCAGCAAAACTCTCGGATCTGAAAAACCAAGCTCCAAAACCTGCAGCTCACCTAAAAGGTGAGTCAGGTGAGACTTCCTGAGCCCTAGTGGACATTAGAGGAACTGCAGCTTTGGTGTTTCAGCGCTGCTTCGTGTTTAAACGAGAAGCTCGGACCCCAACTACGCCGCTAATAACAGGATCACTGTTGCTGACAGTCCTGCGCTGCTGCGCTTCCTCTCAGGCATCACGTAGCAACAGCACATGCAGGAGAGCCAGGAGGGAGTCTGACTCGCTGCTGCGGAGCCATCGATTGGACAACATTGAGCCGGACTGTGTCCACTGCACACGCTCACTCTCTGCCACACAAATAATACAGCTTTTTAACCACGCCCCTCTGACTCCTCCATTGCGCTCACCTGCCACGAGGCACAAGGATCAGCAGGAACCCCGTCGGCCTGAACACTTCGGTGTGTCACACCTGTCCTCTCGCAGGTAAAACCACACGAAGCGGCCATCAGCGTGTGCGTGCGGCTCAGACGGTGTCACTCCAGGAGGCGGAGCCTGCTGCTGATCTCGGACCATGGACAGGTGCATCTTTGTATTCTGGATGTTACTTAGTCAGCAGGCTGGTTCCTGCCATTTTTTATCTACAGTCTGTGGTCATTTGGATCCATGAATATTGAACGTCACGCACTCGCCGTGTGTGAACTGCAGTCTGTGTTTTCTGCTGCCCTTCCTCTTTAAAATTTTCCAAGCATGTATTTCTTGTGCAGGAGCAAAGACGTGAACGCTTTAACCCTCGACATCCGACCAGGAGGTCTGAACTGAGAGGCTTCTGTCATATTCCAGGCAGGCGGTCTGTGGACACCCGGTCGGAACAACCCAGAAACTATCGTAACGGCCATCGAACCGCGTCTTTGTTACATACTGAGGAGCTTCACTGGGTACAGCGAGGTCACGAAACGTCGTCTTTATGGGGAAAGTTCAGACTGAAACTAAAGAAGCTGATCAGGTGCGAAAAGAAACGAGGGCTGAGACACAGGAAGACAAAGCTACGGTGAAGTCAATCAAAGAGCAAGACAGGACGAACTCAAACAGAACTCCACACAGGAAGTAACCTTCAAAATAAAACAGGGACATAAAAGCAAAGCAGAAACCAATACAGACTAACACTGACTTCATAATTAAGTAGAGATGACATTTGAAATTATTTGCTTTTAACCTCAAATACGCAGATTTTGGAGTTTGGATCAAGGCCTGAAAAGAGAACCAAAACCTGACGCATGAAAACTCAGAGAAGTCTCTGCAGCGGAGCCACGACGCTGCAAGGAAACCAGGTCCTGTGGGGGAGTTAGACACGTGTCATTCAACGGCATCTAACAGGAGGGAAGACGGATGCTGGGAAACAAGCCAGACCCCCCAAGCGATGAAGGCCGGAGGACCTGAGACAATAACTACAAACACAGCAGTTAATGGCGCCTGTCAGACGCTGCTGAGGGCAGCAAATAACACCGCAAGACGCAAAACAATCACACAAAGATCTAAACTTC